CTGAGGTGGTCTCAAAGAGACACAGGTCGGCGGAATGTTGTCCAAGCTCTCATGCTGGCAAGCGCGCCGGATTCAGCCCATGAAAGCGTTTCTGTCTTGTCCCAAATTGGTGCAGATGAAGAGTGGGCGGGATGTAAAGATGGCGGTAGGGCTAGCCTGTCGCGCTTGGACGGCTGAAGAACTTCATTGGCCTAGTACGGCCCACCTCGTCCGCTGCCGTACTCCTTGTTTCTGCCAGCGGATGCCCTCTCGACGCCTCCTCGTTGACCTGGCACCGCTGCATTAGGACACATGTTGGCGAAGCTATGGTGTGGCGGCAACGCAAATAAATTAGCGGCGAGCCCAGCATACATGCTCATGTCTTCATTACTCACTGTCCATACTCGTTGCACTGAAATGAAAGGGGCAAAGAGGGAATGAAAGAGCTAAGTACACGATTCCAGGTCGTTTTGATCACCCAGTCGACTCACCTTAAAGCACAAGACCTCACTTAGCTCCCTCTTGAATCCGCCTGGTGGTGGGCCGGGCTGCTGGCCCTGTTGGGGTGCGTTGTTGGCATACCTTCTAGCTCCCTGCCCTTCTCGCGGTATCAGACCAGTCCTTCCTCCTCCGGTTCTTTCAGAGGGTCTACTCCTGCGTTGTGCCATGTCATCATCGTCCCCATCCCTGCCTCTTCCTCTATCGCCAAACGCTTCTTCAAGCGTCATGGGCCGGTGAGTAGTCACCGGCGATGAGCGCCTGGACTCAGCGGATGGCAGCGTCGTCTTAGGATGTCCCTGCTTGCACTCTTTGCCCTTGGGGCAGAAGCCGGCCAGGTACAGGGGACATGCTGGCCGTCTGATGTGCTTCTTTGGACAGTCTGGACCTGTCCGTGGGGTGAAAGAAGCGTAGCTGAAGGTCAGCACAAAGACAGGAAACACCATCGCACCGACTACCTCGTGACTTGGTACCTACCCTTGGGACAAAACCCACGTTCGTACCACTCGCAGCTTCTGATCTTGCTCTTGGGGTCCACATGCAAATACAAACACTCATCCGCACTGTTGCAAAATCCAAAGGTAGCAAAGAATCTGCACTCGGGCATCCTCCTCATGTCGTACTCGTGCAGATAGTCGCACTGATCTCCCTTCTTGCACAGGCCCCTAAGCCAATGCTTGCATACCGTCCTTTTATGGGGGTCTCGAGCCGGTGGTCTGAAATTTTGGGAACCCGGAGCTGTGTGGCGGAGGGGGCAGCTGGGGCCTAGAGGACATGGTGGCGCGCCAGCTGTCAAGTGTGCGACGTGCGCTCGACAGAGCTGATCATCGGTAGCAAGCTTCAATCCGGATGGACCGGATGACAGGTACTGTTCGAACTCAAAAGCGTTGTGAGGGTAGAGCAAATGCACCGCTTGAGCAACGGTGGGATCCAAAGTCACGGCGGTCATCTTCGATACTTCCCAGCTGGCGTGGGCGACGGAGGGAAGTCGAGAAGAGCCTGTGAATAGTCTGTCTCGAGATCGAGAGCGCTCTAGAGGACCTTGGTCAGACGTGCTGCAGTGCAACGTCGCGATCGTCGACTAGAAGCGAGCTGGATGGTGGCAGAATCACGACACGGCGCAGTCAAAAGACTCGCAGTCGGTGAATCAGATTGCTTAGTTGTTGATCTTGATTGAATGTGCAAGTGTCCACATCTCAACTTGCACGATTTGAATAGAAGCTTCCTCCTCAGGTGGCAATTTGGACAAATTGAGTCGTCCGTCATAGAACAAAGGCGCGTAGATGGTGTTTGAGGTTGTGAACTGCGTGGTGAGCTGCTGATTCTTTTGAGCGAGCGCATTCGAGATTGCAAGGGTTGGCGGGTATTGACATTCTTAAGTCCGCGGAAGGTACCCGAGCATAAAGCTCGATTTTGATCCAACCCAAGAAGCAGAATTCAAATTCACTATCACACCTTGAATTCTTATCCGGGTTGTAACTTGTCGTCAATATTGTGATTCAAGAATCCTGACTGTGATTCAAAATGTGATTTATGATTCAATGACCGAATGTGTCGCGCTCGGTTTGGATTCAAGACGCACTTTTGACAAAACTCACGGCTATATATTTCTCACACTTCACGACTCACGCCCACAGCACCGCGCGCGCGCGCACGGTATACGCGTACCTATTTCTATAGCGCCGATCGAGTGGTGCATCAACGCTGCGACAAATCCCGCGCTCCAACCGCGGACCGTCTCTAGGCCGGACTGTGTTCACGACTGCTGCGTGATTCTTGACATGTGTGATTGCTCTCTAGCACTCAGACTCACGACTTGTGAACGTCGAGCTAAGGCACGCAGGCACGCAGGCACGCATCCTCGTCAGACACTACCACTTTTACCAGCTCTTCATACCCACGAACTATTTCCGGTCTTCTTCGGTCTCGGTCGCTTGTCTCTCACCTTGACAGACGCTGTCGCTTTACGCCGTCAGAATTACCCCGTCATCGCCCAGTTCCACCACCTCTCACGCACGCCACAAGGCTCGCGGCTCGCTTCTGCATTGAGTTCAATCAACACGCCAGACCTGTCGGAGCTCGAGCGAGCATCAAAGCGCTTGCGTGGCCGAATTGCGACTCGTTTCATTTCTTCAAGAACGCAAAGCAATCACTTGCGTTCGCACCCGGAAGGACGGTCAAGACTGCAGCCGAAGAGCTGCGCGCAGGACTCGCAAGTCGTCTGTTGCGCTCTCTGACCATCTTCGACCCTGGCTGGCGCTCCCGCGCTCATCGACTGGAGCAAGTGCGGCAGAGCGGGCCCGAACCATGCATTAGCTCTGCCACGACAAATCGGGATAGATCAAACTAGCGCCGGCTGAACAGGTGCTCACGAACCAAGCATTCAATCACCTCACACCCCGCCACTTCTACATCAGCTGCAGTCGCGACATCTGCAGAAAACCCGGCCGAACGGACATGGAGTGCTCTCACCCAGCCAGCTTTGGCGGGCTCTGCGCGCTGTGCGGAGCTCATCTTGACAAGTGAGTGATGGCGATATCGGTCGGCTGGGTGTCATTGACTGGGTGGTCGTCAGGATCGACATTTTTGGCAAGCGTTGGGCGGACAAGTTCGATTGTCTCACTCTGACCTTGCATGCATACCATTCACTCCCTCAGTGAGCAGCAGTCAGCGACGTCATTTGCCATGATGCACAACACCACTGGTCTCAGAGTCACGCATGAGGAAGCAAGTAGGCTGGATAGCGAGTCCACACAGAGGTTGCTCCAGCAACGCAAGCTTGCACTCATCGTGGATCTGGATCAAACCGTCATTCATGCGACTGTGGATCCAACCGTGGCAGAGTGGCAGTCTGACCCTACGAATCCCAACTGCGAGGCTCTCAAAGGCGTGGGCCGCTTCCTGCTAGGTACCGACGGCAAGGCTGTGGTGGGCGCCGAGGTGCCAGGGGAATCCAGCAGCTCAGAAGAGACGGACAAAGCTCCCGCATCTAGCTCCAAGATCGCCTCCGCTTCCGACATTGCAGCAGCAGCTGCAGCGCAAGATGGATGTTGGTACTTTATCAAGCTGCGCCCAGGCACAAAACAGATCCTCAAAAGCTTGAGCGAAAAGTACGAACTTCACGTGTACACCATGGGCACGCGGTCGTACGCGGACTGCGTCTGCAGAATCATTGATCCCGACGGAAGCTTGTTCGGCTCGAGGATCTTGTCGAGAGATGAAAACGGCAGCTTGGTACAGAAGAGCTTGAAGAGATTGTTTCCGATGGACACGAGCATGGTCGTCATTATCGACGATAGGGCTGACGTGTGGAGCTGGAGTCCCAATCTGGTCAATGTCAGACCTTGTGAGTAGGCACGGTGCGAAGTGCGAATGACGGATGACGGATGTCCCTGAGAATACTGCGCACTCCACTCTAGACGACTTCTTTGTCGGCATCGGCGACATCAATGCTACCTTTTTACCCAAGGCGCCCACCTCGTCCACAGACGGACCTCCATCTCCAGAATCCTCCACTCAAGCCACGTCCTCACCAGCCTCAAGTGCACACACGTCCAATGGCAAAGACGGGAGCAGCGCGAGCTTGCAGACATCTACCGGCGGGACAGCATCACAGCGAAGGCGCTCCATAGCCGAACAGGAACAAGCAGACAATGACGAAGCGCGGACGAAAGCTACGGAGTCACAAAAAGTGGCAGTTGCTGAGGTATTGGATGCGAGACCTTTGGCTCGAATGCAAGAGGCGCTCGACGAGAAGGTTGCAGCTGCTGAAGAAACCGCATCGCCCACAGCACTGCAGGACAGCTCACATGAGAGTGGCGCTACGTCTGTTGGAGGATCCAGCGGGACTTCGTCGACGACGCAAGCAACCGCAGTCGAGGTTCCTACCATTCAAGCAGCCAGTACTGAGGCAAATTCCCACAGAACTTTCGAAGAGGGTGCCAACCACGAGAGTGCAGACACTGCACCCCCGACATCGTCACCTCCTCCTCACCAGCACGCCGTGCTACGAGATGACGACAACGAGCTGGTCAGAATCCAAACTGTGAGCACTCATCAACCAATGCGCGAGGCAATTGCTAGATGCTGACTTGCTCCCCGCTCTTGCTAGATATTGAATGAGATCCACAATAGTTGGTTTCAGCGGTGGGATCATTACAATGCAAATGCCAACGAGAATGCCATCAAACCGCACGTCTCTGTGAGTGAAAGATTGGCAAAACGCACGCTCATGCCTGGGACTTAGCAAGGACCCTTCCGACGCAGCACTTGATCACGACGATCAAGCGACGAGTGCTTGCAGGTACCTCCGTTGTCTTTTCTGGTATTGTTCCTCAAGGCTACTCGCCAGAGTTGTGAGTCAAAGTCCTGACGCACAAGAGAATCGGAAAAGAGAAAATTGATCCTGAGCCGCCCGTTGCAGATCTCATCTGTGGAGACAAGCAGGAGAATTTGGCGCTCAATGCAGCGCCAACATCACCTCGGACACGACGCACCTCGTCATAGCCAAGGTGAGACGCCGAGGTCTTGATAGTCCGGAAAATGATCTGATGTACGAGTCTCGCCTGTTATCCAGCCCGGCACAGCCAAAGTCAGGGAGGCTCAAAAACTCAAGGGCGTTAAGATCGTGTGGGCTGCTTGGATCCAAGACAGCACGAATGCATGGGAGAAATTGTCAGAAGAGCCGTACCTTTATGTTGACGAGAAGCCTGTGCGTGAGGGGCGGCGGAAAGCAGGGGCACGAATCTTGGACTAACGCGCTTCCTTTCCTCCTAGCAGGCTGACATGCAAAGCAACGGCGAGGGAGCTGAGAGGAGAGGAACGACCGTTAGAGCGCCGCCACCTCAAGAAACTTCAACTCTTCCCAACGACCAGCCCGTGCTGTCAGAAGATCAAGCTGACCTGTCCAACTTTGCGCGCTTTAGCAATGGCATGGACTGGGGCGCAGCCGATGAGGAAGTGGACGCATTTTTGGCTGACGGCGATGACGAAGAGGAGGATGAGAATGATGATGGGGATAGAGACGATTACGACGCCAACGAGACCGACAGGACAGCGGAGGAGGGTGCTCCGCACGATGCTCCTGATTGGAATGATGGCCCTACTCCGCCGACTCAACTGAGGTGAGACACGCAAATGAGGCTCGCAGAGCGTTGGCAGCGCTGATGAATTGAAGTGTACCGTTCTGGTCGCGCAGATCGAAGCGGCAAAGATCACCAGCCTTGGCGAATGCGCCGAATTTCGCCGAGATAGACGATGGTGATGGTAAGCGACAACGGTTGCATCTCGGCCAAGCAGGCAATCTTGATCCTTCGACGCAGACATCCTCGTTTGAGCCTCTGACTCAACAGGAGGAGTCTGCACATAGCGATGCACCCAGCGAGACCGGCACAGACGAAGAGGCCATGCTCGATGCGCTTGCCAAACGTCTGGACCAAGGTCAGGCCGGCAACTTGGACTAGTCGAGGTTCACTTGCCGTCTTGTCATTCCGCTTCTTTGTAAGCGAGCGTGCATGCCCCCTACCACCTCCCTCTCCGCGCGCGACTCGAATCGACGCGACCTTTCTTCTTCTCAACCAGTCACTGCTTCATGTCACCGTTGTGCCCCACTTTTCCGTTCGACGCCTCCATGGCTCTATAGCGCTCCAAAACGCCACACCACGCGCTTACCAAGTGAGGGCTACAATATCTCCATGTATTTCATACAGACGAGGGCTCCAGAATCTCAAAGATGACTCAAAACGAAGCGCCGTAACGTTTGCACGGCAGAGACGGCCTGCCTGCGTTCGAGCTCGGCAAGAGTGGTTCAGGAACACTGGTGGACCAACTTTTCCAATTGCGTTGCCCGGCGGTTTTCTCCGAATGAAAAAGATTCGAGCTGCGGAGCGATGAGTGGACTTGTACTCGCCATCGGTGCAGCATTCGAACTCGCTCTTGCTCGATGAACAGCGACCATCCATCCTGCCGTGCTGCACCACCAAATCATTCAGCCTGGTTCACTCTTACCGACGAAGCTGGTGTGCTACGAATGATGGAGTTCAGGTCAGACCACATCACGCCCATTCGACCACTTTAGTCCTTCTACCACCGAGGTCCAAGTATGGCTTCAATTTCGGGGGGCTATACATCTGGGCGTGACGAGTCGTACAGATGAGGGATCAAGGGTGCGTGACAGAATCGTATAGAGGGGGAATGTGAGAGGGCGTCAGGAAGGGACGTGAGCGACACTTGAGTCATTAAACAGGCTTTCGAAAGGCTGTGTAAGCGGTACAGGGCGAAAATTTCTTTTGTTCTTGGAATGCGGGCAATTGGCATGAAGAGGAGACCTAGTAAGGATAGCGCGTGGTCGCATCCAAGGTCCTGTTCTGCTTGATGAGAATGAATTTCATGGACCAAGCCGTGGCTGCGCAGAGTATGCTGAAACCAGCCATGGCGCCCATGGCCAATGCGTATCTAGGTTTGTCCTGATCTCGAAACAAGAATGGCGTGTAGATGAAACTGGCATTGGAGGCAGAGACCATCATGGAGATGACTACCGCTTTCTTCTCCTTCGTCTGATTGCATACTGTAGAGGCCCAGCCTAGAATGATCGAGTTGGCTACGTAGGTGCCCGAGCAGAAGATGATCATAGCGACGTAACGACCAGCAGTGTTGAGCGTGGCTGCAGCAGTCACGAAGCCGATGGTCGCGATGGTCTTGCAGGCGGTCAAGTGCCAAGTGCTGAGTTGCAAAGCATCGTCGACCGTAAGCTGGTGGCCTCCAAGACGCGGTCGATTTCGCCCACACGCCTTGCAAAACTCACCGTTCATTCATTCTGCCCGAAGAGATGGAAAAGGCGACGGAGACGGCAGCGGCTATGAGGTAAGGTGGGCAGGTGAGCACCAAGGTGATGGTTCGTCCAAAGCCCAGCGTCTGCACGACGGATGGGAAAAAGTTCTTGAAGCCATTTGCGGCGAGGTGGAGCGTTTGCATGAGAACAAAGACCCAAGCGCGAGGATCCTTGACCGCTTGCTTTAGACCATCCAACGCCGTACCTTCTGGGCCTTCGTCGACCTTGTCGCGCAGCATGCGCGAAGCCGCGAGCTCGCGCTCCTCGGGGTTCAGCCAGCGAGTGGTGCTGGGTGTTGCGGGCAGCCATGGCCAAGCGCACAGAGCGACTACGCCAGTGATGCTGCCTTGGATGATGAACAACCATTTCCAGCCTGCATAGCCCATCAAGCCGTCCATTTCAAAGACTGCTGCGGCGATCAGACCAGCAAAGGCAGTGGCGAGAACATTGCCGGTGTACAGAATGCTGATGCGCGTAGCCAGCTCCGTACGCGTGTAGAATTGACTCAACACGAAGAGGGCTGCGGGGTAGTAGGGAGCTGTGAAGAGAAGTAGGCAGGGGCGGGCATGCATGAGCAGCAATTCACTCGTGACTGGCGGTGCAATGCAGCCATGCAAAGGCCAGTCTAGAAAGGCCGCTCACCCTCGACAACACCCAAGAAGAAGCGGACGGCGTAGAGACCTGCTGCATTCTTGACGAAAGCTGTGCAGATACTGAGCACGGCCCAGAGCATCATGGTGCCCACCATGAAAGTGGGAACATTTTTCTTCATTCGGCTGACGATCATGTTGGAAGGAATGCCGAATAGCACGTAGCCGATGAAGAGGATGGAGACGGCGAGCTGATACTGAGTGTCCGTCATGCCGAGATCTTCTTCCAGGTCATTCAAGCGAGCAAGAGCGATGGCGTTTCTGAAAGAGTAGGCAGATGAGCGTGAGCTGACCCATGTCCCTGCCACAAGGCCGCGCTGGGGTCGGCATCAAGACTTACCTGTCCAAGTAGTTGAGAATGTAAAGGCTCCACAGACTGATCATGATGCGTACGTCCATCTTGCGTACCAGCGCCTTTTCCTTTGGGTCAGTCTTCTGAGCAAAGCCAGAGTAGTCCAACTGCACTTCGCCTTGACCTTCGAGCTGCTTTGCGATGGAAGGTCCAGCTGCCACGCTCTTCTCCGATTGGCTCAGTGCATCGAGATCCGACGTCTTGGTGACCAGATCCGACGTCTTCTTGGACGATTTGGAGTCGATCGATGCGCGCTGGGCGCGAGGCAGCACTTGCACCGTGTCCATGTTGTCTCGATGGATGTGGGTGTTGCGGGGAAAGTTGGGAGGCGAAGGAGGTGAAGACAGAAGGGGCTTGGCGGTGAGAGGAGGGAGGGAAGGAGATACAAGAAGGGCCAGATGAGTGTAGTGAGACGGGGGGAAACAGGGATTGAATCGAGGAAAGCAGGACAGCACCTTTATAAGGCTTTCATTGCGGCGGACTCGAGGTGCTCGTACCGCCTTGAGGATCGTGAGAAGAGGCGCGAATGATTTACCATGCGGAGGCTCTCCGCGCTGCCTCGATGCACCCCACACTCGCCTGTAATGCGCACGGACGCACTACTGTAGGTACGACACCGGAAGGGTCGAACACATTGACGCTCGTTCCTACAGCCTGATCGCATTAGTTCAGGAACAAATGTCTGGACGAGTTTACTTGTTGCAGCGATCCGTCGTGCGCGGGGCTGCATCCTTCCTAGCGACTCGCGGTCATCTTCTTCCTCTCGCGTTTTGCTTGACCGACGCGTTAGGCGTGGCCACAGTGCCCCCTCCACCGAGGAAGGGAGGACGGAAGAGATCGGAAGTGGGTTCAAAAGCCCGCTCTCGTTAGCCGTGGGCCGATGTCCAAGAATGCAAATTGCACCGATGCAGACTTACCCCAGACAATTGCCATTGCCATGCAGTCACGGGGCAATGTGGCCGTGCGAATTGCAAATGTGTTCGATGTGTCAGCTGCCAATGTACGCGCCTTGAGCAGGCGTTCAGCACGCGTATGGCAGCATCAGCAAGCAAGCCAAAGGAATCGCGTAGCCTTCTCGAGTGGCGTTGGTGTCGAACATTGCTCTTCGTCTGTCTCAGAAGAGATCTGGGCCCTTGTCGCGGATTCGGTCGGTGCATGCAAGTCAGGGTGTGCACAGAGATAAGAGAGCGATTTCCCCCCACATCATCTCCAGAGTCGAGTTGAGGCGACAAGATGCTGGTGTATTGCGTATCACAGGCAAAGAGTCTTGAGTCTGACTTCTCTGAACATTGCGCGCTTGTCCCGACACCTACAGGTGCTGCACCCTCGGTCTTGCGACGAGGAGGCTTGCAGCGCGATCTGCACACATTCGAGAGCCCCAGCATTCGTCTTCTTGAGATGAACTATAGGTGGGCCCATCCATGCAGCAGACGTGAAACTAACAAATGCCAAGAATGTAAACCTCGTTGCATATACGTTCTGCTTTGGTATACTTCTGTAGTTGCTTACTTGTGGGCCTGTTCGTCTGACGTGGCGCATCTGTGCCAATCAGGAGTGTGGGTCTGCTGCTGCGTCCGTGCAAGGACCGCGGCACAACGCCCAGTATAGTCAGTCTACGTGTGAGAAGCTCGACGCTTGAATTGTACGCCCACTTCAAGATTTGAAGTTGCTCCTCTTCAGGTCACCGCGGTCGGCTTGTGCGGGCCGCAACTAATTGAGGCGCAAGCCTTTTGACTCGGACTAATTGGTCTTGGGTGGCGGGATACTGCTGCAGCATGTGGCAAAGCATGCATTGCAGGCCTGCACGCATGTACCGGTACTCTGTTTTTGCCTCTATATGGTACAGCATGGGCCGGACAGCTAAAGACAGCACGCCAGATTGTAATCAATGAGTCGTCCTGCTGCATCTGGAGAGTACAGACCGGTGATGCTGGGCACTGGCGCGCTCCGTGCGTATGCTAGCAGCCATCAAGCGACTTGCGCCATTTTCGTGCGCTCCGACGAGCATAGCAACGACCGACATGATGGTCCACAGCGGCAGGACAGCAAGGTCTTGCTGCTCTCTTTTGCCTTGTCCATCCATCGAGATGGTCCAGCTTCTTCTCTTAGGCTGCGGCAATGCCAAAAACGGAAACGTCTGAGCTAAGAGCGCTGGCCTTCTCTTTGTTGCAACGAGTGGCCCGAGCACATCAGCTCCACCATGCATGCAGATAAGACTGCAGATCCGGCTAAAGTGTCGAGGGTGAATGCTAGCATGAGCGAGATGCAAGCGCAGCCACACGAGCCCACATGTTCGACCGATATGGGTATGCATGGATGAGCTCGCACGAGCGCGGTTGTCAGTCGATGCTGGCGCGATCGACTCGCCATCACAATCGTGACGTGCAGTCAGAAGAGTGTGCTGACGTGTATGATCGCAACGTGATGCTTGAAGCAGCTAGGTGTAAGAACACCACAACAAAGACGGTCTGCAGGCATGCTGTCTGACCTCCTCACTGATGGATTGCGTCTCGGAGAGGATGCCGCGGGCTTGCAAAGGACCAAATGCCAAGTCGGGACGCCAAGGATAGGAATACGAGCTTGTGAGCTCGCGTCGAGACGAAAAGTTGGGGCGTTCGAGTCGTCGCTGCGCACATGATGGTGCCAAGAGCAACTCTTGCCTTCTGCCATTTCTTCTCGCTGTGCAAGGGACGCTGATCATTGCCAAGCAAAGGCGCTTGTAGCGGATGAGAAATGACGCTCCGAGCGGTCTAGTCCGCAGGGATGTTGTGGAGACGGCAAGATCGGCGAGAACGTTTTGCCGGCCGCCCTAGATCGCACAATGCGGAGTTTTCAAAAGGAGTGTTTCGTTGCCTCCGACGCTTGCAGTCTTGAGCCCTTTTGGCCATGAGTGATACACATGTCTGCAAGTAAGGCACCCCTGCCCTCGTGTGCATCCTTGCCATGGTGACGGCGGCGTGGGCAAGCTGTGGTGATTCCGCTCGCGACTTTTCCGTGCCAAGAATTGCTGGTGTCATGCTTCTCCGCATCGAGGGCAACGCACTTCCAACAGCAGTCTCAGCCGGATCGATGGAAAGACGTAGAAAGAAGAGCTGCGAAAAGGCACATCATTTGCGTACCACAGCAAAGAAGACCAACGGCGAGAGTAGCTGCACGGGTGAGATGGAGTGTTGCGCGGAGATGGAGTAGTGCGCATTCGGAAAAGTCTTGGCGCGCCCCAACCATCATCCTCGCAAGGCACAGCAATCGCGACTAGACTGCGCTGCCTGCTGCAGGTACGGTACTGCACTAGGGCAACAGCTCGACCAACGCGCATCCTTGCGGGGCCCCACGCAAGCTGCTCTGTTGAAGTAGGCCCGCTGTCGGGCGCTGCCTACGCCATGCAGGCATCCTCGCAGGGTTCAACCAAGCGCGGGACAAGAGCGAAAGCTTGTCTGCTGCGGCTCTTCTTGAGACGTGCCTGAATGTAGGCGGCATGCTCTCCATCATCCTTCGGTCGTGATGTGCAACGATCGGATTCGGTCGAAAGTAGCTTGGTGCTATGAGAGTGGCTTCTGAGCGGGGTTTGGGATGGGTCTCGACCGTGAATGATACCATGGCCTCCACTCTTGACTCACGCCGAAGTAGTGCAGCACTCCCTCGCATCGGGTCATAACGGGTTGAGCAAGGTCAACCCCGTCCTGCTCTTGAGCGGAGCACATATTGCCTAGGATGTTAGCGTGGGAGGGGTCATGAACTCGCTTCTTGGCGCCATTCGAGCATCCCTCGCCACTCCATTTTCCAGTATGCAGTAAATGTAGCGGAGCGAACGCCATGGCATCCTCCCAATGCAAGACTGTGTATGTACACCCTGCTCGCCGTCCGTCCGCCTGCCCCCACCGCAGTCGTGAGTGAGCTTGGCAGGTCATGCTTCGGATGCGAAGGCTTGCTGGGGTGCCCTACGCGAAGAAGGCCGTGCGATACTACGTTGCTGCGGAGCGTATCGAGATATTGGTAGCACATTCGAGGATGGTTTGCTTCATGGCAGGACACAAGTTGCGTCTCAGATCATTCGAGGACAATCTACGTCGCTCGAGGCAGGTGAAGGCTATCGACTTGCCGGGATTCCGATGCAAATGCGACTCACGACTGGAGGAAGCGGTCGGGGTATACGGCACACTCGAAGAGAAGGCTATCACTGGAGGAGTCCGTGGCGTTTAGGATTCGTGATTGATGAGAGGTTGATGAGAGACAGGGGGGATGGTAGGAGACATGGCAGGCATCGCGATGCCAATCTCGTCAAGGGGGACATCCTTTTGTAATTTTGACAGCCTAGTGAGAATGTCAGATTCCACTCAGAGCATGCCGCCGTGGCCTTGAGTGCAGGGCAAGTAATGAAGGCGGTCGCGGGTGGAATCACGCACAGCTATAAAGCCTGAAAGACCGCCTAGCATGGGTGTGGCATTGCATCGGCCGCTTCGTCCGCCATCCGGCACGAGTGCCAAGCACATGCCCGCCGAGTACAAATGTCCTATATGGACCTCTATCAAGTAAAGGATTTGCCCACAAAACGCCCCCATTGCGATTGATGACTCGTGAGGCACGCGAAGAAGGCTTCGAGGAGCCGACTTCTGGCTGCATCGTTTGATGCATGGAGGTGTCGCAGATTGGACTTTGGCTGGTGCCAGCCACAGTAGTGGTCTTGAGTGTACTGACGCGCGCGGCCGTCGCGTCGCGGTGTGAGCAAATGACGTGGACACCCAAGCTTGACAGAGAGATTGTGGGCACGTGACATGGCATTGTGCACATGCTCGACACAGCTAAAGCTAAAGGTCAAGATAGCAGTTTTGAGTGGGAATGCCTAGCAACCAGCCTCTACCAGACCTCCCTTGCCTTGGATTGTGAATCTTTAGCCAAGAGGACGGCGTTTCGTTCACCTGTGGCAGTCAAAAGTCGGAATCGAGCACGTGAGATCGAAATCACGTGACGCTGGAGAGACACGCCAGGAGACAGCGCACAAAGCGCACACCCCCCGAAGTTGCTCATGGCCATCGAGCGCAGGTGAACGTCGTGACCTGAATGCATTCTGGTTACGCCGCTTCTTTTCATCCCTCGACTTACGACCGAACCCTTGAACATTCCACCCCTCTGAAATTCGACAGCGAGTGCAGCTGACTTTCCCCCCACCTTTCGAGCTCGATATCCGCACAAATCACCTACCAGTCATGTCAGCGCTTTCCTCGCGCATCTCTTCACTGGCCCCGTTCCTGCTGCAGTCACCACCAGGACAAGTAGAGAATGTGTACAATGATATAGCAGGTCTTTTGCAAGCCGAAGAAGACACAGAAGGCTCTTCCATCAGTGAGAAGGAGGTCAACATCCAGCTGCGGAAAGCTGCGGACCCTGCTTTGAAGGATCACAACGAGCAGCAATTTGTTATTGTCAAGGTTCAAGGTGGCACAGCGACGAGCGATGCGACGAGCACCATCATTTGTCAAGAAGCGCGGTTACAGGTGCAGGGCAGAAATAGATACAGGCATGCTCGTCTGCCGATCAGCTTCGAGATCGATCACAAGACTCTGGTGAGTCACAAGTTGTTGGCACATGCCGGCGGATGAGGAAGATGTCGAGCTCACTCACAATCGATGCTCGATGCGCAGGCTACAACTGCGGTCAAATCGCTAGAACACAATGCGGAAGTGGAGCCGCTACGTCGAGCGTGGGATGCGGCCCTGGCAGAGTACATTGGTGATCGCTACCCGGATGGCAAAGCGGCTGTATTTGCTCGATTGCTTGGCGAGCCGACTGGTGGTAGTGCCTCAGAAATTGAGCCCACAGCTGCACCTGAAAAGGGGCTCGCCTCCTCGGAAGAAGCGGACGACTCAGACAAGAAAGCCGAGGAGGACGCAGAAACATCTGCTGAAGGATCCCAAGATGTCGAGGACAAGGCTGCAGCAGAGTCGAACGTGCCTGCTGCCAGTGCAACGCTCAAAGAGGTCAGCGGACCTGCGCCGCTTGTGGCGCATATAGTCGGTACAAGGCTGAATCCTCGCAATTTCTGGTGAGTGGAAGTCGAGGACGCACGGTCGCAATCCGGGACCTTCTATGGGTGACTGAAGGAATCGGACGCTGATACGCTGATCATGCTCTGTCTTTGCTCGTGCACCTTCTGACAGGGCGGGAAGATGGAGGGGAACGTACACGTATGACCCCAGCCATTCTTCAGTGTTGGCAGCGCGCTATCAGATCGTGGTGCACTACTACGAGAACGGCAATGTTCAGATGAATTACGAACACAGCGAAGAGCTTGCAGTATCAGGAGCGAGCGCACAAGATGCGGAAAGCGCTGCAAAGGCGCTCACCAGGGCGATTGAGAAGGCGGAAGGAGAAGTTGCGGAAGGGATCAGCAAGCAGGTGGAGGAATTGGGAGGGGATGCGTTCAGAGCGATGAGGCGCATGTTGCCCGTAACGAAGCAAAAAGTGAATTGGGACAAGGTGAGTCTCAGAGGTCGCCGCGGCGCATCCCACGTGCTTTCTTGTCGGATCATGCGTGCTGACAGGTTCGGACCTGTTTGTGGACGTATGCATCATCATCAAGCTGGTCAGCTACAAGATCGGATCGGAGCTCAGCAAGTAGACTCGATGTGTGCACACTCTCTTCAACAGACGAATACATTTTCTTGTCAGTGGAGCAAGCTTTTGAAATGCGTGAGGTCTTCTGCCTTGCGCAGAGAAGGGAGCAGCGAGACTTACGCGGTGGTTGGGGGTAGTGCTTACTGCCCACATGTCAAGTCTTCGGCACCTTGGACAGCATTCGCCCTTGTTTCCGATCCACCAAAGATCTCTCTATCAGTCGAGGCGTGCTGCTCCTTGCAAGCAGCTCAGTGCCACGCAGCTGTGCAGCTCGAGTGGGCCTCTCTGCCGAACAAGTCCGAAGCCCAAGAAGACCTTGCTCATTCCCCTCCTTGCTGCTTCGTGAGCCATCCAGGGACTCGAGCTTGATCCATGGCGCAGCTTGCAAAGCCACCAACCAGCAGGTGCTATCTCGCATGTTTCAAGAATCGAAGCAGCAGCAGCTGCTGCTGACCCCACTTTCTCGTGTCATGCTTGGCATTTCGAAGATGACATGACTAAGAATGTGGATGAGGATATTCAGGATTGTGATTGGTGCAACAAGCACGATGAATAAGGGGGGGGGGGGGGGAAGG